TCGCACCCTCGTGGCGCCCGGAATGGGCGCGCGTCTGGATGTGGGTTGATGAAACCACCGCCTGACAGGGCACACCACCGCATCGGGCGACACGACGAACGGGAAAAGAGGACTTCGTGGATTCTCTAAAATTTATTGAACTATGGCGGATTCTCGACAATTCAAAGAACGTCAGTTTATTGGTGGTAGGAGACAAAGACACCACACAGCACAGAATAGGAGTGGCCCTGAGAGTCTTGGCGACCACATATCGATGCATTTTCCGTTGAGGCTTCTATGCGTGGGTCGGTTTCCAATTATTGTCAAAGCTTTTATATGTATATATGTAAAAATAACAATAGAATATAATGCACCAATCCTCTTTTTTCAATTTTTATCCGCTCGAGGGTTCTAATAGACTAGTATACCCTCAACTGATTATGGTGATACTAACCTATATGGTAGAATAAAAAACAGCACAGAAGTACAATTTCGAACTGCAGTCCAGATAGTAATCACAGACATACAATGAGACGTGTCTTCTGAAAAAAATAGAGAAGTGCCATGCAGCTTTGTGAAATATACTCATGTTGTTTTCGATAGTATTGGCTAACCTTTCTGTCATCGATAATCATACTATTTTTTCTTCCACAACAACCTCACCTTTGCTGATCTAACTTTGAGCTCTGCTACTATATTCCTATATTTTTTAAACCTAAATGCAAGAAAAAAGAAACCATGTCACATTACTGTCATTGAGCAACTCAACCACAGAGAAGTAATTTATAGTCCTTAGATTCTGAATTCATCAACCAAATCCCACGATGATATTAAATACTCTTCGGGGCTATGCATTCGTAGAACTGATAAATAAACGCGACCTCAACGCCCCAAAGAAAAAGCTGCCAACTGGAGAGCCCCTCAATAATCTCAGGCGAATTCTTGTACGGATCATCCGGATCGTAATCACGAAATTCTTCCGGCCAATCGGCATAGTTAATTTTCACTTTGGCAGCTTCTTCTGGAGTAAGCTGTGGTCTCCGCTCTGGATTTTTGAAAAGAAATAGATTGTAGCTTCGTGAGCTGCCAACTAACGAGACCGCAGCCGGCGCTATCTTGCCTGCAACAACGCGACGAAGCATAGTAAATTCAGACTTAAATAACAAACCTCTAGACCGCGGCAGGGATGCTTCCTCCAAAGTCCAATGCTAAATGGTTAGCCGAAAATGCAAAACAATTTTTTCTCAAATGTGAAAGCAAAAAGGTGAAAAGGAAATATAATCAGGATGTGACCCATAAGTTGTCTCATAAAGTGTGCAGCACATCGTTTACCATGTCAATTCAAAGGCCTTTAGGATCCTTCTCGCCTCAGGGAAATGACTTAGTTTCATATTGATTTTTATCATGTATTTATCGTGGATCGTAAAGATCTACGCGTGGAATACAAATGTTATACCAGGAGCTGAAATTAAAAAACTTTTTGGCCTGCTTCCACCCAACATAGCCTTTGCTGACAGCGGTCTTAAGATCAGTAGGATTAGCGGAGTAGTGCGGATCTAGGATAAGGTAGAGCGCCTCAGCCTTGTCGACATCGGCATAAATGCCCAAAATTGTTTGAGCATAGCTACTACCGCCAATCATAATCGGGGGAGAACGCTCTTTCTTAAAATGCTCTTGCAGGGTAAGCTGGAGCGAGGGGTCCGTATCCAATTCTGAGCCACTTTCCAAATGCTTGATCGTGCATTCGAGTCCCGGCATAAAGTACCCCAAAACCAGCATAATTTCAATCGAACCTATCCATTCTTTTGACCCGACAAAGTTAGGTTTGCTTGATTTGTCAGGATCGATGACAGCAAGGATCTTTTGCAGAGATTGGATCGACGGGACTGGCTGCGTGAGGTAGCCCTCGTAGCGAAACCAGGATAGGATCGTCTGAAGACTACGATACGCACAACCCCACCCATCATCTATAAAGCCGTCGGAGCGGTAGTGAAAGTAGTCATAGGTGCCGCTAACAAGGTGCGTAGTAGCATCGACGATGGGCGGGGAGGGCCCTTTTTTGAGCGCCAGATGTGGATTTTGAACGATATGCCTCCGCTCCCGCTCAGGTTTGGCGCCTTGGGTGCCGGAAGGAGGCGGTTTTATCAGATTCTCGGCCGTATCCCAGTCCTGGATTCGCCTCTCCACCTGAAGCAGGCTCTGCGGCGGTAGTAAAAGCGCTTCATGCTCCGCCCGGCGAAGCACATCCGTTGTCGCATGAACGTTAACGGGAAATGGTAGGTAAAATGGCCATACAACGACAGTGGGCTCCACTTGATGATGGATAAAAAAGCCCTGGAGAAGCTCCAAAAGCATCGCAACGATTTCAACAGGGGTATCGGCGAACCAAACACGTTCATGGGGCAACACCACTGCACTTTGAGATGCTTCACCTTTTGGAAACCTGAAGCGGGTCGCGGGTACACCCTCCGTTAGCTGCGGCTCACTCATCAGGAAGAGCCTGTAGGACTTCGGCCCCGCACTCAAACGAGGTGCTAAGAGCGCTTCTAAGTTCTCAATCAGCTTTGACAAGTTCTTTTGTGAAAAAGACAGGCTGAGATCATCCAGTCTGTTATCCCTGGGTGCTGAAAGAAAGAACCAATGATTCTCAGACAAAGGATCCAACGAGACAATGCATTTCAGCTGCAGCTTCCATGCACGATCTTTCAAAGTAATGGTGGTGGGTTCGTCGTCAGAAATCTTAAATGGAGTCACTTCACAACTTTCCAAATCAAATGGAACAAGTCCTTTAAATGTAGAGCTGTCTTTTAAAACCGCAATTGTATCCCCATTATATCGAACTACTTGAACGGTACCGTTAGACGGCGAAGCTGTCAAAGATATCTCAGTCATCTAAACAGAGTACAAAGGGAGATTAATAAAAAAAAGATAGAGAATAATATTTAACTACACTTAAGGCAAAATTAGCTGCATAAAGCGATAGTTAAAACCAATATATCAATAAAGAAGAATGTTGTCACGTGTGAAAGGCGTATAATTGATAACCAAAAAGCGCTGATAATTTCCGGATCACACAATGAGTTTGTAGCGGGATTCAAGAGGGACGGGTGGGGGCTCTACAATGATAGGAATCACAGCCTCCACGACTCTGCCGTCAAGTGTTTTCTCGTCGCTTTTCACCTTTGCGTTTCGCGTATTGTCATGAATCCCCCATACCACTTGCACGCGAATATGCCACATAGCAGAGACGATGTCTGTGAAGAAAGTCGCGCCGGGGATGTTCTCCACAGTTAAATGAAACGTGAAGGACGCGTTTGGGGAGTCTAAGAGAAGAAGCCGCTCTTCAGCTAATATGTGGCAACGAATGATGCCCAAATTATCTACCCCATAAGCTTTTTCAAATTTCTTCTCTTGCCACATGCTATACTCATTGCCGCACTCCAGAAACTGAAGTGAAACATGAGCTAAGAGGGGAACGAGCCTAGATTCCCCTGCCACCAACAGATCCGCTCTTGCCAATATGTTATGGCTGAACACGCCGAGCACGGAGGAGCCAACAGCTACCTTTGCGGAGTGCAAAATAAGCTGAACAGGCTCACGATTGCTGTTAGGGGGTGTAAACTCAAACCTTCTCAGGCTTCTAGGTTCCCCCTTAATGGTCTGCCGTTCTAATTTGAGAGCATACCAATCTGGCGGCTTCTTCCTACTCCGCCCGCCTTCAACTATCCTCGTCGAATGCAATGGCTCCGCGGTGTTATTACCGGAAGTTGTTGTTTGGATCAAAGGGGAACATTCAAAGCCGTAATTTTCATCCACAAGTGGATGATCGACGCGAAGGGGAAAGATAGATGTGATAAAAATCGTAGAAGTCATTGCCGCCATGCAAAAAACACGAATTGATACTATGAGCGTTGCAAGCTTATCATCCCAAGTATTTCCCTCGCATCGCCATTTGGTGGTTATAGAAAGCAAGTACTCTATTTTAGCGTGAGTGCCCTCAAAGGATGGTGGCAACTCGTCTGGAAGACGGAGCGAAAAGGAGAAACAAAGACGTCTTTCTGGATTATTAGGAATAGACTGAGCAATAGTCCAAATAGGCGATTCAAACAAGGTGTATTCGAGCGATAAACGTGTTTCTGTGTTGCTGCGTTTTATCATGGAGAGAACCATACCCAAAAGAGACTGCTGAGGGTTTGCTTCTATGTGGTTTGGCAGAGATAACGATGTGCTAATAGATGAACGTTGCAACGCGTTTGATGAGGTTCGGAACAAATCACTGGAAAACCATTCTGGATCCATCCTGCAATACCCTCCTGCGCGCAGCTCTAACGCATCCAATACCCATTTAACATAATCTGTGGATTCTCCAAAGAAATCATTGTAGACTGAAGAAAATACATTTGAATGTGCTGTTAACGATGAAGCTGCATGTCTTTGAGTGGAAGTGTTGAGGGGATATTGCTCGATAGACACCTCACACCGTACGGTATCACCGGGTAGGTACCACCTCCGATCTGGACGAGCATTGAGAACGAAACGTGAATGCATCAACCTAGAAATCTAAGAGTTTTCATGAAACGATATATGAATATATATATTTATTTATTTGCTTATGTACTATGATTAATGTTTAAATGGTGGAGAGGTCCAAAAGTATTACATCATAAAGATAGAAAGTTAAGCATTTAGAAAACGAGTAAAATATCCTTATTATTATTATTATGGATTATTCGTGTTTATAAACGGAAAAGATGAGTGTTGAGATACGAATTATAATTTTTCGATTCCCTTTATCGATAGGGAAAAATACAGAAACGTATCCTTCACCCCTTGCATATTAATTATTCACCTTCACCATTATATACTACAGATTGATCAAATTCAATTCTGCAGTGTTGATTTAAAGGCATTTTTTTTCTTTACAGATTAAAACCTCTCGAAGTCACCGAAGGAGTGTATAATTATAACACAAATCGCAACAGAAACAACCCAACCTCACGCCCCATAAGAACACACACAAAAAAAAACACGTAAGATCTACCAAGAGAGTTGCTTCATCTTATCCTCAACTAGCTTCCTCGTTGGTTAAGAGATCTTCAATGGCTAGGACGATTTTGTCGTAACTCGCCTTGAATTCTTCGTTGGGTTTTAGCAAAACGACGGAAGTGGCGCGTTTGCACTGCGTCGAAACGCCTAAATCCTGCCGAGAGGGCACCCAAACGTAGGGAATCTTCGCCTCCTCTGCCATTACGGGGAAGTGGGAAATAACATCATACGGCGAGGCATCCGCACCGAGAACGAGAATGCCCTTCTGTCCCTTCCGGATTGACTTGGTAACGTCTTTGATCCCTTTAATAATGCCTTTTTTGTTTTCTTTCACAGCCTTGCGGATGAGTGAGTAGACCTTTTTCGTCATTTTGGGTTTATCTGAGGTAAAGGGCCAGGAGATGGGGCATCGGTAGAGCTCGCGGTCGTAATCGTACTCCTCCGCGGGTGCATTTTCCTGCTCATTGTTTTTTTGTTTGTCGTCAGACATTAGCCCGTTGAGAATGATTTTTTTGGTCCTTTTATTGGATTTCTCACCTGCTAGTTCTTTCAAGAATAAATATTAAACTATGCCATGAGAAGGAGGAGAGAAAAATAGTATATTATCAAAGATTTAATTCTGTAGAAAATGAAATTACAATATGGTTGTAAAAAAATCATCGTCACATGACAGAATATCTATATATAGATGCTTTTGCATACTCAAAAATCAGTCCTTACAAATGTTGAGCAACACCATAGTGTAGGTTGAATGCATTGAATTTGAATTCAATGTGAATCCTTGAAATAGGGTGCAAGGTACTTCTTGCGCCATTTGAGGAAGTCATCACTACAACTTCACGTTCTCCCTGTTCATTTAATCTACTTTGAAGCGCACCAGTGACCCTAAAATTTAAGTTATTGAGGTATATATAATAAAAATCAAAAAGTAGACTATCCAAACACTAATGAAAGACTAAACAACAAGCACACTTTAGTTCATTCCTTTATTCGTTTTCAAATCTGAAATTCATCTTCCCGTGACTCACCATTTACCGAGTACAACAGCTTAACATGAAGTATTACATCGAGGAAGTTATTTGCATCACCGCCGACATCAACCTCCGCCTTCTGGAGAAGTTTCCCATGCGGCTCGATAAATGTGGATGTTAACGGCGCTAACCTCACATTATACATCTTAGGCACCTCGACCTGTAACAAAAGGTTCTCCATTCGAACCTCCAGACGGGATTGAAGCAACAGCTCAACCGCTACAATGCGACCACGCACGCTCGAATTGTAAAGACTCGCAACGAAGTTCGAGCACGAGAATACTTTAGCTTGTTTAGGTGGAGAATAGGAATCAATCGGCGGCTGCGAAAGAAACGACGTGCTTTAAGCTTGAAAAAAGGGGTTCGCAGAAAAATCAACGGCCAAAGATGCGTTAGAATAGTCTATGGGAGCTGGGTTCATCGTTGGAGCGTAAAAAGGCGCTCCTTGCGCCGAATTGAAGGTTTCTCGCACACCAGCAGCACTTCCAGGAAGTAAATTGACGCCTAAGTATGCTCCCGTTTCTGGGAGACCTCCCACAGCCGAGCTTGATGCGTCAACAGAAGTCAATAAGTCCTTTTTCTGGTCGGAAAAGCCAAACAAATCGTCAAGATCAGCCTTAATTTGGTTTTTGTTTGCTTCTCGCGAACTCACGGCAACCTCCTCCACGCGGGAAAACTCCACGCCATTTTGAAGACGAATAGGCGGCATATGCCCGAAGCTGAAGGCGGCCTCCTCGGGAAACTCCGTCAACAAGGTGGTGTACTCACACGCACGCTGCTGCAACTCGCAATCAAGGCTCCCCATCAACGTTGAGAAGATGCCAAGCACCGGGGTTTTCACTTCCGGATAACGCGCCGCCATTTTCATCAGGGCGGTAACGCCGTAGAGCTTCACCTGTCGATCGGTCGAGTTCGTGGTGATCACGCTCAACGATTCGGTAATTTTCGCCGGTTTCAGCGCCGGGTCGCCCTGAAGGAGGAGCTCCGCGTGTTCGCCAATCGTCCACAGCGCGACGATCAAAAACGCCCGACGGGATTGATGAGTGGCGTCGAACGTTATCGACTCCTCATCCCAAAGCGCACGTACCACGCGGGCCTGCACATCCGAGGATTGATTAGAGATTAACCCGATTAGATGACTGGCAAAGCCAATCGTCGCGTGCTGCTTCGCCAACTTGAGCAGCTTGATAGACATTTCAATCCGCCATTCATCAGTGGGGTACTTCTCTTCAATAATTTGGCTGATGCGCAGCGTCACGTCTTCCCGCATCTCCTCGGAACAGAAGTTCAGGTAGGATAGCAAATCCGGCACCAGCAGCCGCACATTATCCTCGGTAATCAGAAGCACGGTTAATTCAAGCGCGCGACGCCGGATCGACACGTCCGAATCCTTCAAGTACTCTAAAATTGTAACCTGGTGATTTAAAACCGTCTTGGGATCGGTTTTAGCGTAATTCAGTAACACTTCTAATGCTACGAAACAAAGATTATTATCATTGGTGGAGGAGAGAAAGTTGCTGATCGTATTCACGGCAAGCGCTCTAAGATCTTTATCGCTTTCGATCGCGTCGATCGTGCGGATGCATTCGTACTCTACCGCGCAGCCGACGCTTCGGTAGGAGTTGGTGTTGGTGATTACCTGGGCAAGGATGTCGTTATACGTCTCGGAGGTTTCGGTTGAGCCCTTGCCCGTGATCCGCATAAACTCCAATAGTTTCACCTGCAAAAAAGGATCCGCGACGTCCCCGATATCGCGTTCGGAGATGCGCATTGAAAGCACCAGGCGCTTGAGCGCACACACGGCCTCTGAGGCGAGCTTCCGATACCGCGGCAAAAACGCCGCGCCCGCTTCGGTTTGCAAACACACGTTAACGAGCGACAGAGAGCAGAGAAGATGCGCCATACGGTTGTTCGAAAAGATATCAACAAAACGCTCCAGGAAGTACTCGGCGTACTCAGGAGCTTTTCGTACAATGCGCAGCGCGGCGAGGCATGCCTTCCGACGGATATACACATTATTTGAATCCACAAGGTGTATGACCTCCTCAAAGATATCACGCGCCATATCCGCACTGGCGACGTTGGATGCCGCGTTAAGAGCGACAGCCTGGAGCAACGGATCACCACTGACCATATCAGACACCATGCGATTTTCAGATAACGTCAAAACCTCGTCGTTCTCATCCATAATGAGCTGCAGCGCTAAGTATCCAATCCGCTTTCCCGAAAAATCAGTCTGTGAAAGCAAGTTAATCACCTCTAGCTGACCGAACTCCGTCGGGTAGCCTAGCAATCGAAGATAAAGCAACTTCAACATATTGCGGGTGCGCAAGTACGGGGTTCCTTCCTTAAACTCCTTGCGAATCCACGCAGACTCCCGATTAATAAGCTCACGCTCCTCACTGGCTGTTTTGCACATTCGAACGGAACGAATCAGTTCCCGCAAACGCATTGAATTCATGGAAGTCATTGTGTACTGTCGATACTATCCTTTTTTTGGTATATATTTCTAAAGCTAACTACCTTTTTGTTGTATCCAGTGGATCAGATTTATTTTACTAGACATATGCAATAAAAAAATCAAAGGGAATAATTAATCGTACGTAAGTCTTGATCAACACATTTGCTTGCTAATATCAGTATCCCCCAAGAAACACATTTTAACGAAGATCTTAAGCAAGTAAAAAAATTAAAAGGCACCTTGACCGGATAATTCTTCATTAAATTACGTTATATTCTACTCACAATATTATGCCGAGTTATTTTATGCAAACATCCCCAAAAAACTCAGCTCATTTACTTTCTTTACTCGAGAAAACATGAACGTTGGTCGGTTGTCGTTCTCTTACTCCCCTGTCTACGCCACTACCATTACCTTAAGAAAGGCTAAAGTTTTTGCGTCCTTCGGTTATCGCAAAAAGTAGGCGCTCCCGCATCACCTCCCTGCTGGAGTACGGTGGAAGCTTGAAATAAAAGAAGCACGTGTTGCACGATGGCAGCACCTGCTCTCCTTTGTCTTCAAAGGGTTTCTTCGCCACGCGGATCTTTCGCGCCAACCCCTCTAACCCGTTCAGCGGAAGACGTGAACTGCCCGTTAGGAATTCCAGAAACAAGCGCTGTTGGGTGCCGTCGAAATCTCCACCTATGATGGAAATAAACATCTCCACCTCTTTCGCGCCCACCGAGTAGCCGTGAGCCTCTCTTACAACGGCGCGCAGCTGGGATTCGGTAAACAACTTTCCACCCTCTTTGCCGTAATTATCACCGCTCATCAACGCAGAGAGCTCCTCATCGGATAAAATCAAAAAGGAGTCCAAGTCGACAGAGCTCAGTAACCCGACCGCCATCGCGTGGAGGTTCTCACGACCCACTTCAAAATGCTGCGTTATTCTCCGAGAGACGTATGCGTGGACGTTTTCGATTGTTACGCGCTGATCATCATCATCACAGAGCTCCATAACATCGATCTCCTCCTTGGTTGCTTTTAGAAGATAATCGTACGAATTCATCAGTGTAGGTTCAAGGAATTTCAGCAAGCTTGACAGCACGGAATCAACTTCCGCGTTACTACGCGCTCGGAGAAGTGACCACACTTGTGGCAGCAGTGGCACCTCCATCGAGAAGCCGTCTACAAAGGACCTCGAAAAAACGACCCCCAACACGTAAAAATCGTTGAGAAAGAGGGATTTACACGAGGGAAATCCGAAAGCTGTACCATCGTCTTGCGTATACCACAGATTCTTCGCTCCTCGATACAACTCAGACAGATCCGCGTAGAACTCTCGAGTCGGCCCCGTACCGGTACCTTCTTCACTTTCAAACTGAATCTCCAGCGTGTTACGAAGAGAAGGGCACTCGTCGATGAAGAATTGTGAAATCTTTTCCACAATGTTTTCCAAATCACCTCGAATCACCGTCAGCCTATGGGGGAGACCGTTACTATTGACGTCGTCCTGAGCGATGCCCGACATCTCTACATGCGATTCCTGAATGTGATACAATCCGTAACGACGACAATCCACAGATAGAAAGCGCGCAATATCATATTTTAACGAAAGAGGGAGAAAAGGCGCCAAATAGCTCATGATCATGCGCAAACGATCCGGTAGGCCCTCGACACCATTAAAAAAGATATCCGTCGCATAGGATTCCACAGCCTCAATCAAGGCGTGCGTGACGCTTGGATCCTGGGAAACTTCCTCGCGGCACATCGACAGAATCCGCCAGTACGTCGTGTTGTGAAGCTCACCTCGCTCGGAGGAGGGTTCGCTGTCCTTGGGAAAACGCCTTCGGACGTAAAAGCTAGGCACCTCCACCCCACAGCGACAGACCGCGTACGACGACCCCGCATGAATGCCTTCTTCATCGCGAAGTAAACTGCTCACTGGGGCCGACATGGGAAGAACGCGGAGCCGCGTGTAGAGGAACTTTGCACGGTCGGACTTTTCCTTCGAAGGCGAGGAGGCCTCCTCATCATCCGTCGAGTGATGCTTCCTGTTAGCTTGTATTCGATTCCAGCTGGAAAGCAGCTCTGTGGTGGTGGATGTTGGGCTGGCTTTGACGCATCCCGTGAGCATCTCCCCACATTGATAGCATAAATCGTAATCGCACAGGCGGCAGGATAAGGCGCCGTAGGCCGTCGTCTGCCCGCATTGATCACAAAACCAATTTGAGCTGAAGTGAACGCGCAGCGCATGCCCATGAGGGCAGCGGCTTTCCCGTGTGGCTGAGCAAACGGAAAGCATCACGGGCTTCGCCTTATCCAGCTCCGTGAGGAGCCCCCGCTGCATCCCTTCCATCGAGAGTCGCTGCAGCTCCTGAGAGGTGTAGGTGGCTAAAAAGGCACCAACACGCGCCCGATCCCGCGGGTTGCTGCCCAGCCACTTCTCAATGACGGGGTAGACGGAATCGTCGAGGACGCTGGGGTTCGACGCGGCGTCGTCGCGGCTTCTCAGCCACTCCATAAACTCCCGGCACGAGGCGCGCCCCATAAACTCGATCACCGCCGTCATCGAGCACGGAAGCGCCACATCCGAAGGGCTCGGCGGCGGCAGCGAAACCCGAATGCTCGTTTCACGAATCACCTCCGCGACGGGGGAGGTTTTAAAATGCGGTGAACGCGACGCCACGGGGGGAACCGGTGAGTGGGCCTGAGAAGGAGATCGCTGAAGCTCTCGAGTTCGGTCGAGGACCTCCCGCCGTGCGCTCGCGAGCCCCCCCGGGCGTTGCAGAGGGAGCTTCGTCAGGGCATCGGCAATACCGGATTCGAGAAGGACCGGCGCCCACATCGCATCTCGTGATAAGAGTTGCGATGAGAAGGCCTCCAAAACGTCCACGGGCTGCTGTGCAATGAGGCTGCTGAAGGTGTGCTTGGCATCCTCGGAGTCCGACGGCTTATCATGGCATACCACATGGAAGTAAATAACTTTACATAATTGTGCAACTTCGTTACTTCCAAAGGACGAGGATCGTAGGATTTTCTTTAGATGTGGAAATTTGGTATATTGTCGGAGGTGCTCCGTAATTAGTCTCCCTACGTTTTTAAAGGATAAATTATTGTATTGGTACGCGTAGGGAATGCACTGAAAATGAACCCATTTCATATGCTTCTTATGAATGTCGATCTCTCTCATGTTTAGTAGGTCTATAGTGCACCCCCCCCTCTTTAAAGTAATGTTTTGCTTTGCAGAAAAAAACGCCTTTGTCAGGGTCATGCTTTCCTTTGTTTGATACCGATAAAAGTCATCGTTGTATCCACGCCATGCCCACACATACTTTTCATCCAAAATTGGTTCCATATTGCACAGCTTCGCCACAAGAATAAGTGCCGTCCAGTACAAATCTGGAAGCTCCCATTGTAAATTCGGAAGTAAATTGAAGGTATCATCCTCCGAGGCGTTGTCCCCTGCTTTTTTTTGACGAACGAAAGGATCGCTTATCCTGAGAGTTCCCTGAGTCGTTTGTTGCAAGATTTCCATGACAAGATCCAAAATATTACTCCAATCAGAGAAACTCGTCAAACAGCCAAGATCATGCGCGGAGGATACCGCGTTGGTACAGGCAAGTACCAGCTGCCGTCGTCGTTCATTCGCAGAAAGATCAACGCAGATACGGCTACACAGCTTTAAGTACAACTGCGTTACATCTTTTCGAGGTAAAAATTCTGAGAGCGGCGTCCTTCGAGAGGTGTGCCCGTTCCGCACCCGCTTCGCCGCTCTCCCCTCTGTGAGGGACCCACACCAAGCGCGCATCGTTACGATACCCTCGGTAACCGCCCTCAGAAGCTCATCCCATTCAATATCAACGTCCATAACCTGTAGCTCCACAAGGGAGTCAATTAGCATCGATCGAAAGTATTCGCGATTTTGATCGTCGGCTAGATAGCCCCCACGGGCAAGGATGCAGCAGTGGCGCAGCACCTTGCAAGCCAGCCGCTTTGAATCACGCAGGACGGATGCACAAAACTCAAGCTGCGCTTTTTCCGGCGGAAGGACCGCACACACCTCCTTCTTCAAACTAATTGCTAAAGTGAGGCATCGTAGTGACTCCTCCGTCAGTTCCTCCACTGTTAACTTTTCGAATTTTAGTAGAGCTATCTTCGAGGAAGTCATGCAGGCAAGCACCTTTTCCAGCGCCATAGATACATTCCTTGTGCAGAATTCACCCTTTGTTTTATTTCGGAAGGTATGGATAACAGTGCAAAACTTATCTAGTATCAAGGCAAGAGTTCGCGCAGCCATGACGAGTATATCGCCATCGTTGGGACGTCCCTTCAATAGACGTAAAACAATCGCGCCAATATCTCCTATTGGAATTAACGGGATCTCTGTGAGAAACAACATTGTACAAATATCTGATAAAGCATCAAATGGATCTTTGCCCTTAATTTGTTGGGACAAAAAAGAGTAGTCGAAATCCATTGTATTATTATTCAGATACCTACCTGATGTCCTTTCCCCAGGTTGGACGTGATGCTTAAAGCTAATATGAAACGCAAAAAAATTATGGATCGCTTCACCTCCGACTACTTGCTCTGTAAAACACTACCCAAAGAATAGATGTAAAAAGATGCAAAGAAAGTATTCAAAATATAGATATTACTGACGACAGTTTTTAAATTCATTGATGGATACAAGGAGCAAGCAATTATGAATGTACTTTTCATGTGCTACTGTTTTAACGTTAGCAACAACACTGGAAAAGAATCATTTTGAGTTTAAATTCCATTTAATCGTATATGTGTTAGAGTAGTAAAAAAATACATTTCCAAAAGGGAGTGTGTCCAAAACCTAGACCATGAATGTAGTTAAAAAAATAGAACAAACCAAAAAAAAATAACTCTTAGAGTAAGCAGATTTATTACTGATCACCTATATAATTATTCACCTATGAACTAAGCAAGTCAACACAAAAACAGAACATTTAAGTGCCATAATATTCAGGTGAGACGCATAGGACTAACCGGAACATGTAACAAAAAGTCTACGATAGGTTGGAGCAAACGACAAAGGCTTTCGTTAAGTTTTATACGATCAAATGAGGAGTGTATGATCTATTGCTGAAGAAAATGCCTAATGTGTTACCGTTATGGTCCAAAAGTAAGAAACATATTTGCAAAGAGAAAAGCTATTCCCAATATTTCACACATGGTTTTCATCTAAGATTTAAATAAAGCATATATTGACGTTATAAATGCAAGATAGTAAATTGACTTCCTCAGTCGATTTGGGCTATAACGCAAAGATAGTCTACTAAACGAAATTGTGTATTCAGGAACAAAGATACTACTACTATCATAAGTAACGAGAAAGTTATAGGATTAAAGTGATGTCTAAAAACAATACTAGAAGACAAAAAAAATACAAAAAAAATAAAAATAGTGAACCAAGGAGAACATAGCATGGTTACGTTATATCAAGCTATCGATAATACAGTAACAGATGTTAATGCTTTGAAGGAAGGACAATTATAGTCTAAATGTACCATATTAGTTCTCGAAAAAGCGTAATAAAGGGAATTGACTTCAATTATGTCTAAAAAATTTCCACCCTACCCACATGCCAAATATACAGAAAAACAAAAGCTGTGGCATCGTAGAAATCCAAAGCGCAAAGTACCAATTTGGATCAATTTTGAAGTGGTTCTGTGGATTAGAGTAATCATGGAATCGCACAGGCGAAGTTGCATGATGCCAGATAGTAAGGGAAAACCAAATAATAAATCCCCATGTGAGAATCAAAGTAGGCCATCCTAAAAAGAAGCGATAAGCACCTCGACTATGTAATGAACGCGGAACCATCAACAATGAAAACTAATACAAAATAAGAGAAAGACAAAAAAACTTGCTACAAGAATTTTTAAAAAAGTTAGAAATCCAAAAACTTTTAGACAATTTGGTTTCTTAAAAAAAAGAAAAAAATTAGGAAAAAAATAAAGAAATCACTATAGAAAAAAACAGAATTTCATGAACAAATAATACTCATTTTACATTACACACAAAAAGCGTAACACAAGTTGTCTGTGTGCAGAAAGCGAGAGAGATGAA